CACACACACACACACACACACACACACACACACACACACACACTCCCTCTCTCACTCTCGCTATAAATAGCCCTTCCCCCTTCCTCCCCCACCTGTTGAAAACATGTCGAGACTAGCTCTCTGAGATAACACTTACTCAACTAACTCCTCACATTAGGGGAAGTTTATAGGGAAGGCAAGTCGCTCTGCTTTCGGCCTCAGGCTATAAAAATGCTCTTAAAGAACCAGGAACCAGCCTGGTGATGTAGCGAATCCCTGTGTTTCGTATCTCCTTTATTTTTTATATCACTATATACAATGGGTGCATTAGACGACAATGGGTGCATTAGACGGCACTGTCTGATGTAAGACATCTGCATAGACCAGGTAGGAAATCCTAGCAGCTCCAACTGCTTTGATCAAACTGAATTTTGTTGACTGTAATATTGCTTTATACTTAATAGCTCAGTAGACCATAGTTCAGAAGAGGAGAAGATCTCGCCATAATGTTGAGTGGTCATGCGTAGCTGAGTGTAGGCTCCAAAGATTGAGTGTGACATTGGCAGTGTATGGAGTGGTAGGCGCTTACTGATGTGTGCGTTGTGCCTTTAAGGCGCACAGAGGCTCACGCCCCTGTGTGCTCGCTCACTTCCTCTATCAGTGGTGGCAGCTTGATGGGAATCCACCCTCCATGCCCAGCAACAGGCAGGCTTTGCAGTCCCCGTGCGACGTGCCGGTCCTTTCGATGAGTTATGCTACATCGAAAGTTCTGTGAGGTTCAGGCTAGCTACCTGAAGCTGAAGGACCTGTGGGCGCTGGAGGTAGGCCGCCGTCCTGAGGAAGTCCCTGCGCTCCGCACACCTGTGCGCAGACAGACACACGCCTGGCTTCATCTCTGCTTCTTCGCTGACAGGCTTTTGTTGTTTCGCTTGTACAGCAGTACAGTTAGTTGGGCTCCGGGTGTGGTTTGACGGCTGTTTTGGATCATGTTTTTGCTAATCATGAGTGCCGGGCCCAGCTAAACGCGGTAGTGAGCAGCTAGGTTTGTGATCTTGTGATCTTTACTGCTGAGTGAGCTCCAGCCCCCCCCAGGGAAACTAAGTTTTATAAAAATCTGTGCCTGCGATCAAAAAACTAAAAATGGCAAGTCATGTATTTTGTTTGGTTACTTATGGATAAGGTTAGGGCTGGGTAGGGGTTACGGTCGTCATTGTTGGGATTAGAGTTTTGCCCATAGAAATGAATGGAGGGTCCCCAGAAAGGTGTGTGTGTGTGTCTGTGTGTGTCTGTGTGTGTGTCTGTGTCTTTTCTACAGGTTATCCTGCTCATTGTCTTCCATATTTTTCTAGAACCTGACTGCAGCGTCTGGTTTTTGCCCCACAGGAGAAAGACAAAGAGAAGAGCACTGAGAGAGAGCGAGAGACCAAGGAAAAGGACAAGAAGGTGACCAGCGGACATGTCTTCGGAGTGGGGTCTGCATTCCTGGCCCCGTGCCTCCAGTGTAACAAAGCCATCAGCGTCAAGGACGGCGTCTATTGCCCCAGTAAGGGTCTGGCCCGTTCCGCCGTTTCCGGCCGGCTGTGCTGCCTGCTTCCCCCGCTTCCCCCTCCGCATCCCGTCTTGTGCGGGGCTGTGCGGTAACAGCACAGCATCGCAATCTGCACAGGATGTCGTCTTTCACAAGATGCACAGAAGACCTGGCGTCACAGCCCTGCGAGAGCACGGCACGTGGCTTCCGTTCCGAGCGGCAGATGTTCCTGGCAGAGCTTCGTCTGAGACCCCCCACCCCACCAAATAATTTTTTTTTTGCCGCGGTTGGGGGGGATTTTGACCGTCGTTGTGCCTAAGCGCAACAAGACCACGTGACACCCCCTTGTGGCTGCCACACACTTAGGAAGGTTCTCAATCAAGCCGCAGTCCTGGTTATCTGGCCTGTTTTTGGTAGTACCTTCCCACAGTGGACCTGCACCCCCCATCCATCAGCCCCCCTGGTGTGTTTATCACTTTGGCAGCAGCCTTTCTGTGAACAGCACCCGGCTTTGGTCTCTCTTCAGTGCGCACTGCTAAATGGAAAGAGGATGTGTGTGGGGGTGGGGTGGGGTGTGTGGTGTTGGCATGGGGGGGGGTCCCCACCTGCCACCTGCATTGAGCTGGTTTGGTTCCACAGTGCTTGTTTCTTGGATGATTTATGATCATTTTCCGAAAGACTCTGGACAAAGAAGAATTTACTCCAGTGTCTAAGGAGAGGGGGAGAGAGAGAAAGAGAGAGAGCGCGAGCGAGCACAGAACCTGACAGAACGAGAAAACAGCAGCCCATGCATGTCACTGTTAACCAGCCCGAGAAGCTTTTTGGTTGGACGCACGGTTTGCGCGTGTAGAACTCAGCCAGCCAATCCAGACTAGCCTCAGTCACATGGGCTGGCCACAGCCTGGGATATAAGTTTTCCTACGTCCCAATTTTTTTTTAAGCCAGCTCTGGTTCTGCTTGTGATTGAGTGGGAACTTGCACTGCAGCCAGACCAGCAATTAAGCCTGAGAAACGCCCTGCTCTTCGGCCTGCTTTTGTTTTGTTTTGTTTTGTCGAATAACTGAAACGAAGTATGTGTCACTTGCCATCCCAAAGCGGGTTGGCGTGACTGTGGGTGTGAATTCAGTGGGTCTCCCTCCACCTCTCTACACCCAGGAAATACGTGGGGGTAGAAGGGGCCCCGCTTACCACCGCAAGGCAGCGTTCACCTTTTTTCTGCAGGGGTGTGTCTTCCTAACAGTACTCATGGTTTCAGGGTTAAAAGGTCCGTCTGTGAAGCGACACATTTATCATGTGACTAGTCATGTATCTGCCTTGTGATTGGACATGCTGTATTTTACGGTGCAGCTTCCACCCCCTCCCCCCCAGGTGTGTGTGGATAGGCAAGCCTCGATTTCACGGTGGCATACATGTTTTAAAACAGTCTATAGACTAGAAGTTCAGTTCGAATCAGCTGTGATTTTTCAAAGCAGATCCTGCCGTTTTTGTGCTGATAACTCATGGTGCGTCGCGGTTCTTTTTGATTTCAGACTGCAGTGCGCTTGTTCACCGGAGCTTTCGGGAGACTCTTCCTGTCTGTTCCAAGGTCAGAATGATGGTATGGTTTTGCTATGTTTTTATACAGTTAATTTACCTGCTATTCTAATATCTGTGCTGAGGTAAAACGGCGATTGCTAACCTTTAACGGCCGCTGAAAAGGGACAGTTAAACCTTTCCTGTGGCCTGGTCACATGGTAAACTGTCAGGATTTTTATTGTTACATCTGGATATATCCAGGATATGATATGATTTTAGAATAAAACAATGAGAAATAACCTTGCTCTTTGTCTTCTAGCAGCCAAAGTCCCAGTTTGCTGTTCCGGAAGCTTCCGTGATTCCTGTCGTTACTCTGAGAAACAAAGGGCCAGGTATGGGTTTCTGCCGCATTCTGACGGTTCTATTAGAAGGCAGCATCGTTGTACGTGACTGTTTCCTTGGAAACGTGTGATGCGTTCAGGCTCAGTGTCGCGGGAGCGACCCTGGTCGGTTATGATGGCGCCCGAGGACCACGGCCTGCCGTCGATGCCCCGGCGACACACCAGCATCGCGGCGCCGTCCACCAGCAGTCTTTCAAAGAGTGTCTCCATCAGCAACATCGCTGGGTAAGCCACCGCTACACCTCTACAGTGTGCTCCGCCCCCCCGGTGGAACCCCCCCCCTCACCTGCTGGCTCTCCACGTCCAGCTCGGCGTTCGACGATGTGCCGCTGAAGGGCGTGAAATTCCTATCCTATTCCACCGACTCGCTGAACAAAACCGGCAAGGTCAACGAGTCCACGGAGTCCCTGACAGACGAAGGTTAGAGGGCCCGACTGCTCGCCTGGTCCTGTCTTTCAGTCTGGTTACACCAAACAACTGGAATGCTCCGCTTTGGTTTATTTAGGAGGTTTTGGTCCATGTTCTCTCTAGGATCATGAAGAAACCCTGAAAAAAACATTTGACTGTAGCTTTATAAACCCGTTACTATCTTTCATGGAGTACTACCACTGACACTGTAGAATATTCCTGGACGTGTTTAGTGGTGGTGAGAACTATTATATATAATATAATATATAATCTCAGGCTACCTTAGAACGGTTTACTGATAAGGTGTTGTAATATCAGCTAAACAGTAACTGTTGTGTACTCATTCATCATGTGGCTCACCCTGTGCCCCCCCCCCCCAGGCACGGAGATGATGGACAGTCAGCTTATGGGTGAATTCGAGGTCGACGCCAAGGAGCTAGAGGCCAACTCCTGGAGCTTCTCTGTCGATAAGAAGTTCCTGAAGCAGGTCAAGAAGGACGTCATCAAGAGACAGGATGTCATCTATGGTAAGACTTTCACTACTTCTTCGCTGTTTCATAGGGATACTGCTCTGTCATACTGTAAATGCCAGAGACGTACTGTGATCCCTGCTGGGTAATTCTTCTTATACTGTACCAGAGGCTGTAAGCTTTCAGATTCATGAATGAACCTTTTGATGGACTTCTGAAGAACATGTCTTTGAAGGATGCGGGTCCATGGCTTCAGAGGGGAAGGAGCTGGGATTGTCTATTCTCCAGTTGCGGTGTGACCTGCTTAACCCCCCCCCCNCTGTAAGCTTTCAGATTCATGAATGAACCTTTTGATGGACTTCTGAAGAACATGTCTTTGAAGGATGTGGGTCCATGGCTTCAGAGGGGAAGGAGCTGGGATTGTCTATTCTCCAGTTGCGGTGTGACCCCACCCCACCCCAGAGTTGATCCAGACGGAAATGCACCACGTGCGGACCCTGAGGATCATGTGGAACGTCTACAGCAAAGGGCTGCAGAAGGAGGTGCAGCTGGAGGCCCAGGCGGTGGAGCGACTCTTCCCCATGCTGGACGACCTCTTGGACATCCACACACATTTCTTCTCCAGCATCCTGGACAGGAAGCGAGAGGCCCAGCAAAAAGGGAAAGACGGCGGCTTCGTCATTCACAAGATAGGAGACGTCCTCTTCAACCACGTAGGGGCATCTTCCTCTGAGACAGCTAAAGGGGCACAAGAGAACTCTAGTCCTGAAATTAATGTACTTGACCATGGCTATAGACCTTTCAAAGATCCATTTAGTTATGACCCATCTTTGATGTCTTCCTGATGATCCTTCTTCTTACCATTATTATTATTATTATTATTATTATTACTATTATTACTTTTTTCCACAAGGGCCTTGCTGTTTAATATATTTTGTTCCTTAAATACAGTTCTCGGGGTCCAATGCCGACCGCATGAAGAGAGTCTATGGCAAGTTCTGCAGCCGGTACAATGAGGCAGTGAACTTCTACAAGGAGCTGCACTCCAAAGACAAGCGCTTACAGGCGTTCATCAAGGCAAGCAGATACCTGACAGCTCAGCACATCAGTTTTTGGTTCTGGGGGAGGGATATTGGTTTCTGATGGCTATCGAGGCAAAAATGGCTGTACCATCCGGATAGAGCTCGCATCCTAATTTGCTGGAGACACTTTTTTAGAACTGGAGAAGCAGAACACGATGTTGCCGTAATGAGCGATGCCGTTTTTTGTACTTACTGAGAGAGTTTTTGTCTCTTCCTTTCAGAAAAAGATGAGCAGTTCCATTGTGCGTCGGCTCGGCATTTGCGAATGTATCTTACTCGTAACGCAGCGGATCACAAAATACCCGGTGCTCCTTCAGAGGATACTGCAGCACACCAAAGGTGAGATTTGGCTTGAGAGAGCGGGATGAGGCTCTGGGATGTTAAAAGCCCAGCTGGCCTCTATCAGGAACGCTGAGAGCCTTTCCTCAAAAGGTACCACCATGCCTTGAGCAACCATGAAAAACATTAGAAGAACATTCCTGCCTGTTTGGACCTCCTGTCCCTGTCTGGGGGGGTGGGGGGGGAAATCCAGATGCTCTGATTTACTGCAGATCCCCAGGACTTTGTATTTAAGACTGTTTTCGATGCTCTGATCTAAACTGATCTACAGATAGGCTTCATTCCTTTTGTCTTGCTCATGAATTTGTAACAGTCTTTGGAGAAAGTGCTTTGCTCTGTCCTGTTGCCTGCAGGGTTTTAGTGGGGCAGCTTACTGAAGGGGGGTCTGCTTTTCTCCTGGTGTCCCCGCAGAGACTGAGGAGGACCACAAGGAGGTGGCAGAAGCCCTGCAGCTGGTGAAGGAGGTGGTCACAACTGTGGACAGCAAGGTCAACGAGCATGAGAAGAAGCATCGGCTGAAGGAGGTGCACAGCCGCATGGACAGCAAGTCCATCATGCGCATGAAGAGCAGCCAGATGTTCGCCAGGGAGGACCTTCTGCATGGAAGGAAGCTTCTCCACGATGGGCCCTTGCAGTTGAAGAACTCTGTGGGTCGGCTGAAAGGTAAGGCTCCCTATAGCCCCTGCTGAAGTCCACCTCCTCCCTGGCACAGGTCTGACCCCAACCTCTCTCCATGTCTCCTCAGACGTCCAAGCCCTTCTCCTCTCCGATGTCGTCGTTTTCCTTCAGGAAAAAGACCAGAAATATGTGTTTGCTTCTCTGGTATGTACGCGATTGGCCATGAATCTGTGTGCAAGCGCTCATTGTTGACTGGAGACAGCTGACTTTTAGGAAAGCGTAGCACCCTTATGTAATTATGCTGGTGTGTTGCGTAACTTTTCCTGTTGGGCTCGTAATGTTAGTGCAGCATCAGTCTGGGGCCTGCACAGCACTTGGCAGCATCGCTGTGTCGGAATCTATGGTTCAAATGGATTTTTTTCCCCGTTTGTGTTTAAGAAAATACATTTGTTGTTGCTGCTGTTGTTTTTCAGCAATTTCTACTTTACCGTGGACATGCTCTGCTTGCTCCCCAACCCCATGCAGTCTCCCCTGAAACCAGAATTCTTATGATCTGAGAAATTAGTTGCATAATAGTGTATCGCTAAAATACCATCAACAACGGAGAGTCCAGACTTACAAAAGAACTTCTTGGACTGAGCAAATATGAGAATAGGGAACTAAAAAAATATTTGCATATACTGGCTTATTTTATCGGAAGGAAATGACATCATTCACGCCCAGAGCTTTGCTTGAAGGATGTCTGCAAGAAGAGAGTTTCCTCATGCTTACATCGTAGCTTCTCCACTTAACTCCAGCGGGTTTGGGTGTCTTTTAGGACCAGCGGTCCACAGTCATCTCTCTGCAGAAACTCATTGTGCGGGAGGTGGCCAATGAGGAGAAAGGCCTGTTCCTCATCACAGCCGGCAAGAAACCGGAGATGTTAGAGGTATACGCCAGCTCCAAGGAGGAACGCAATACATGGATGCAGCTCATTCAGGAAGCCATGAACTCCATGTGAGTTGGTCAGAAATAATCCCATAAAACCTTTTTCCCTCAGGGATTAGTCTAAAAAGTTATATCCTTAGTAAGTGTGGATTATTATTATTTTATTAAGCAGAAGAGACTGGTGCTATGAGCTGGGAGTTGATTAAGAATTTAAGAGATTAGTTTCCCTGTTTGGATCTTCAAAGGAAATTTTTGGGATCAGTGCCAGCAGTGTGTAGATCAGGCATGAGTTGGTCTGGTCTTGTAGGGAGAAGGATGAAGATGAAGGCATCCCCAGTGAGACTGAAGAAGACAAGCGGATACTTGAGACCAAGGCTAAGGAGATGAGAGGTACAGTTGTCGTCACGTGACCCAGGAGAAAGTTCTGGAAAGGATGGTGGCGGGGGGTGGCGTTGATGGGTCTCTCTGATCTCCTCCAGAACTGCTGAGGAGTAAAGACGATCAGATAGTGGCACTACTGGAGGAGAAGGTGAAGCTGTTTGGGGAGCTGTGTGAGAGTCCCGCCCCAGAGGGCCCTGGTCGCTGGCTGAGGATGTTCAGGGCCAGACCCAAGGAAGCGCTGAGAGGAGAACCTGTCCTGAAGGATGCCCTGAAGATAGGTATGTGAGAAGCCTGGGGACCCCCACTCATCCATGCAGCGTAGGGGGCAGATGCAGAGCGAACGGTTCCGTAGGGTCCTCAACCGAACATCCGCAGTGTGTGCATAGCGGGGGCATCTTAAAAATATTCCCAAGCCCCCAGCCAAATGTTCACTAATTTGTTTAAATAGTGTGTTCTTCATTTTAATTAAAATCAGACCCCCCTAGTAAAGGCTTCATTCCCCTCTTTTAAAATCTCTAGTGACGCTCCTGATGCTTAAAGGAAACATCTAAATGTATGAAGATATGATGTGTAACAAGGTGTGTGTGTGTGTGTGTGTCTGGCCAACGCCAGTGGAGACCCTGCAGGTGATTGTAAGCAGCAGCCTCGGGGGCTCAGTCGGGCACCAGGTGGCCAGCTCTCTGGGGTCCTCCGGAGGCACGGGGGTGGTCTGCCTTCCCCGGCGGGCGGAGACTTTTGGGGGCTTCGACAGTCATCAGATGAACACCAGCAAAGGTGAGGCTGCTCAGCCATAGTCCATTTCCCAGCCTGCTTTGGGGAACCTTGGCTCTGCTGATGACATCACTCTGCTACTGATGCTGGTAATGATGGGCTCGTTTGTTGTAGGTGGGGAGAAGGATGAAGTGGAAGATTCCACAGACCTCCGCAGGACTGAGTCTGACAGTGTACTAAAGAAGGTAATGAGCCGTGCCTGTTAATCCTCCTAGCGAGGACACTGACCCCAGAATGACCTTTCTGCCCCCATGGCTGGGGGGTGGGGGTGGGAACCATTAATGGCTAATTCCTGCTGGCGCTGCCCAGAAGCGCCCCATGGGGGCATTTGGCACATTGCTCCTTTCTGCCTTATAGGTCAAATCTGGTATAAATAATTAAGGTCAGCCCCGCCCCCGTTTATTAACGTAAACATTAAGAAACTGCACCTGTTCCGAACTCCAGAGGGCGCAGTGTGTCCTCGGGCTTAATGCCTATAATTACCGTTGGCTGGGATCAAGTTTCATCTCTTACTGCGAGGCTCATTTCTTGCTAACAACCAGTCTGCCTCAGTACTGACCCTGGATCTGTGTTTGCCCTCCACAGGGGGGTAACTCTAACCTGTTACTGCTTCTGAAGAGGAACAGTGAGGTAGGTCCCCCCCCTCCAGTTTAGTTAAACAGAAGCCTGGAACTCTGATCTGATGTGGTGATTTCATTTCTTATTCTCCCAAGTTTATTGTGGTAGAAATCCACACAGAATGAAACTGAACGTCTCCCTGGTCATTTCCCTTTGCTGTCCATTCTGGCCAGTTTCAGCTCCTTTCTCCTGCTTCCTGTCCCCTCGCAGGAGAGCTAAATGGTATTGGAAAAAGTACACATTGCGATATTTAAAGTTTTTGTGGTAAATATTGTAGTTATTCTAAAACAAAAACACCATTGAAAATGTACCCAACACCTTTCACATCAGCAGCAGTTAGGGATGGAGGATGCCTGCGAATGTGAATATTCGCAAATATATAAGATGCACAGCGTACCCAAGATGTAGTATGCATTTACGCTAACACAGATTATATATTACTAATATTTATATATACAGTGGTACTTCAGTATTGAAACTCATTAGAACTGGAATTTCGAACCAACCAGTTTGGAAAAAAAATTACCTAGAACTCGATCTGAATCTCATTAGTCATGCGCGGGGAAATGAGTCACGCGGCACGTTTCTCAGCGGAAACAAAGGGTAACGCTTCAGTCTCAGCCTCGCATTCGCTGTGATAGCAACGTTTGGTGATAGTGCTTTTTTTATTGAAAATACTTTTATATAATTTTGGTAGCTATTGTACATTGTTTGGATACATTCATTTTCATACTTTACAAATTTGTCACGCCCGGCTCGTACGATCCTCCTGTGTGCCACACACCCCTCGTTAACCTCATGTGATTTCCCGATGTCATCAGCTGTTTCTCGTTATTTCCAAGTAGTCATGCGTATTTAAGTCTGCGTTCAGTTATGTTTCCCCAGTCCTGTCATTGAAGGTTACTCCGTGTTGTGCCTTGTTTGCCAGCAATAAGCCCTGTTCTTGGATTTCCGTCTGCCTGACCCTGATTCCACGCTCCCTGCTCGCTCGTTCTGTGCGCGGTGTGACATTTACTGTTTTGATAAATGTGCTTAGATGTGTTTAGTATAGTATATGCTCTTCTTGTTTTATCCGGTTCATTTTGTGTTTAAATGCTAAAAAAAAAGAAACATATTTAGTTGTAATTTTTTGGGACCGGGAACCATTTTATTGATTCTCCATTATTTCTTATGGGGAAAACTCGATCAGAACTCAAACTTTTTAGGATTCGAACCAGAGTTCTGAACAGATTAAATTCGAGCTCTGAGGTACCACTGTATATGATTTTATGTGACATGAATAATTTTCAGTATTGTTTTTGCTTATGCCACGTCTGCGAGTTCCTGTGATCTTTCGGCAAGCTCCAAAAATATTCTCATTTAATTCTTCACGGCCAACTCGTGAATAACCGAAATTGCAAATGTCATATCTGCGAATGTAAAGGGGCTACAGTATATCCAAGTAGAAGGGTTATCTACCAGTATCTACCAGTAGAGTCTGTCAAATACAGTGTTGGCATCTTCTGTCCTTCTTGTTAAATTTCTCACAAACTCACCACACTGTCTAAGTCCAACAACAAGTACTAATATGATTGCCATTGGCTTGGAGAGCCCATGCAGAGCTCATGTAAAAGCAGCAGCTGTAAATTTTAATCTGATTTATTAACATGTACTAGATTTGTCTTGAAAAGTGTCAATCATTACAAGCCTAAGTTATGTTTCCTATGACAGAGTAAAAAGTCTTAGTGTAGCTGGGTGATCTCCACCCAGCTCACTGTCTGTTAACATCGCAGGGTGTGCAGGTCTACCTCGCAGAAGCTGAGGATGTGAAAAGTCTAGGTGTCATTGTAATCCTGTTTGCAGTACAGGGACGTTTTTCGGGACACTATCTGCTCTCGAGCACGCCTGCCATGTCATGCGGTCGGGGTTTGATTGAAATCTCCTGTGTTTCAGCAGGTTCTGCAGAACGTCAGTCATCTTCACGAGCTGCTCAGCACCCTGCAGGTAGGAGACTGTCAAACGCTAACTGCTAAACAGTAATGGTCAGTCTGTCAAGGCGCCACAGAGGCTCATAGGTCAGCCGGTGCAGGGGGGGGTCTTTAATTTGAAGCACTGTTTCTTTTGTGGGAAGTGGTATAACTGGTTAGCTGCTGGGAGGGTGCAATTGGCAAGATGGAGGTGACTAAAGTGGGTGAAGAGGGTAAGAGTGGTGTTTTGTCCCCGCCCTGCTGGCAGGCAGTGGTGACGCAGCAGGACTCCTTGGTGGAGGAGCAGCGGCAGTCCCTGAGTGAGCGCCCCCCCTCGCGCCCGAGCTCGCGGCCCCCCTCTCTGGTAGAGCAGGAGAAGCAACGCAGCCTGGAGAGGCAGCGGCAGGAGGCGGCCGAGCTGCAGCGGCGGCAGGCGGCACACGCGGAGGAGCGCCTCCGCCAGAGCCGGCAGTGGGAGGCGCGCGAGCGGGAGCTGGCAGAGCGCGAGGCCCGGGTGCAGGCACAGGAGGAGGAGGTGCGGCGCCGGCAGCACCAGCTGGAGGAGGCCGAGCGAGAGCTGCGGGAATGCAAGGCCGAATACCAGCGGGACCTGGAGGGCCTGCGGGAAGCGCAGCGGAAGCTGGACCGGGACCGGCAGCAGATCCACAGGGACCTGGAGCAGACGAGGCCGGCCCATGTGAGTGCTGGGGGGGTTTATAAAAGGAGCCACCCTCCACGTGTCAGCTTTAATGGCTGCTCCTCAAACGGCCCCTCTAATAATGGCCCACCTCTGCTAAGCTTATTTTTTATCCCGAGATACTTCGTAAATAATCTTCCTGTTTTACCCAGACATATAGCTGCCTTATTTTGCTAGTGGGTCCCGCTCCGCTCGGCCTGACTGTCCCGATTTGGTCGTCCCAGGATGTGCACCGGGACCGGACTCTCTCGAGCACCTCCGACGACTCGCTGAGATTGCAGAGCTCCGGCTCCTTGGACAAGGATCCCTCGGAGAGCAAGCTGTCGTCGTCCCCCCAGGACTCCAAGTCCAGGTCAGGCTCAAAGCGGAAGGGAAAGAACTTCACCCTGTTTGCCTCGAACCCGGAAAAGCTGGCCAAGCCCAAGGAGAAGAAGGACAAGAAGAAGAAGAAGGGGAAAGGACAGCACTCTCAGCCTGAAGGTAGTGGCAGCGAGCTCCCCCCTCGTGCCGTGAGGGGCCTTATAGAACCCAGGAAAATCACTGTTAAGAGCAACATTAAAGGCCGATATGAGCAGGCTGACTTAGTTTGAATAATGGTACAGATTATGGATTCAGTCATGTGAACGATTAGGGAGATGCTGGGCATTGAGTCCACTTCTGTGAAGACTCTTGATGGATGCTTCTACTCGGGTATTTCAAAGAAACCCTGTTCTTTCTCATTCCAGAATCACCTCGCCTTCCATCCTCGGAGCCTTCTGCAGACGGGGAAATTTTCTTCTGCTGATCTGCCTGTGCCCTCCACAATCCCACAATGCCTTGCTCCCAAGACAGCTGTGACTGCCTGAGTGCAGAGCCAAGCCGCTGTAGACAGCTGTCTGTTTCCCTCCTGTGTGCTTCCCCGGGGGCTGGGGGGGGGGGGG